TATATCTACAGCTTATATTTTTCATATCCACGCGTTTTAAAGGAAATTAGTATTATTTTTATTTTTTCACAAAAATCAAGTTGGAATTGTTGCATTAAAAAAAGTTAACAAATCAATACAAAAACCTTAAAAAACTGTGACAATGATTATAGACTGCGATATAGTGACATTTTGACAGAATAAAACATAACCAAAGATGACAGAAAATTAGGATGCTGGCTATGTTTATGGCTCTCTTATATTCTATGTCGTTTGTGATAACGAAAGTTCTGCCACGTTTATACGAAAAATTTTTTTAGGGCCAGAGTACAAGGATACCCTTATCAAATTAATGAAGAAAACACTGAAAAATCGGGACTTAATCGGTACAAATATGAATAATCGGGACATTTATACGTCCCAACTTTTAAAAAATATTCAGCGAGACAATTTTCCCTAAAACGGTACTGTCCAGGCAAAATCGGTATGAATGGTCACCGAAACTATAGTTCTTACATATATACAGACAAATAAATCAATTTTCGAATTCGCTTGACCTTTTCTTTCTAATTCCAGTGCAGCATAATAACACCAGTACGGGTAGATATAATGCCTCTTATATGGATTATTATCATCCTCCAAATATTTCGGAGATAAAGCAACAAATCGCCAAGTATAATGAACTGCAAATAGTTTTAAATGAGGACACATATGGTCCGCTACAAAATGATTCTGTGATAATTGTAATACAGGTGAGGTGAAGTACATATAGTACATATTTCATATATTGAAGCATCATGCACTTACATACATATCATGCTCATCATTGGCATAGTCGCAAAAAGATCGTTTTTTAGAGGAAAAAGATATCTAAATAGTTTCAGTGAAAATTACTACGCTGCAACGTTCCACTTTTACGTAATCACTAAGGTTTGCTTACCTATTGGGCTCATGCTTAAACGCGAGCTTAACTTCCGACCCGATTTCCAGTACAAATTCTTGAATTTCAGCTCACTTTGTCAGTGCAAATTTGAGTGTGAGCTTAAACTAATTTTTTATGCATAGAGCCCATTAACTTTGGTCATAGCTTATGAGTAACATTATTTCCTGCGAATATTTCAAAAAAAAAAAGAAGCGCATTATTGAATTTTTCAAACCATAACGCGAACGTGTTTAGTCGCAGCGTAGGACTTCCCATTGTAAATATTTAGATAATTTTCTCCTCTCCAGTAAAATTAGCAGCGATGCGCAAAATTTCCAATTATTTTCATATAATTAAAAATATTTTTTTATCAACATTGCGTAATTTTAAGTAGTTTAATTTTCCAAGAAATACGGTCTGTATTTTATTAAATTACACTGTGAGGACGCTAAAATTATACAAAAAACGCCCAGATACGTAAACTTATGTAATTTTGAGTCGTAAATTAAGAATCTGAAAACGGTTTTCTAGATCAGTCCATTTTCCCAGAATACTTTCATTTTAAGTTTGCATTGCAAATGAAAAAAAAATCAACTTTTAACATCGAAAATGTTATTCATACGCCATGTGCGAGTATGTCCGGGTATGGCCATGTGCGATATGGCGTATGAGTGACATTATTTCTTGCTGCTTAGTTCATACATAAAATTATTGCACATTTTCATTTGACCATTCAAAAGTAGTTTAATTATCCATCGATTTTCATCGTTAGTAGCTTGATTTTTTGGCAAAATAACATGCTCTAATACACTATAGAGCTATAAAAAAGGTGTTTTTTTTGTAATTTTTTCCTTGTTAAAGTATGAAGTTTTTTTCATAAAAATTATAATATTTTAGAAAAAAAGCGGTAAACATTTCTATCCATAATCTACGACCTAAAATGAGGTTTACGTGCATCGGCATTTTTTTGTGTCAGATTTTCTCTAGAGTATTATTCGAGGGTACACCTAAAAATTGTGCCAGATTGTATACGCTAAAGATTGTTATTTACTGTACACTTACTTGCACACACAAACACACATTTCGGACAAAAAATACTCAGAAATAAATTTCTAAATTTAGGTGCATACACGTATAACCTACCTACGCCATTTGATCGTTAGTCTGGCGCAGGCCAAGGACATTTCTAAGACTTTATTAATATTCTCGCATGACTACTACGACGATGACATCAATGATTTAGTGCAAACTATTGATTTCTGTAAGGTCATACAGGTAATTAACAAATACCATTAAAGCTTAACTACTTTGGTAAGAAAAATTTTTCATTACCATTCGTTAACATGTATCACTTTTTATTTCACAGATATTTTATCCTTACTCCATACAAACTCATCCGAATGAGTTTCCTGGCGTAGACCCGAATGACTGTCCGCGTGACATGAAGAAGGATCAGTGAGTGCCAAATTTTTAACAAGAGCATAATTTGTACAAATTATCTTACCATTTTCTCAGCAATTTTATTACATTCTTTTTGAACAGAGCCATCGTACGCAAATGCAATAATGCCCTCTACCCCGACCTATACGGGCATTACAGGGAAGCGAAGTTTACACAGACAAAACATCATTGGTGGTGGAAGGCGAATCGTGTATTTGACCAGTTGGATGTGACACGTTATCATACTGGTTAGTTAAATATGACATATTTAAAGGAAAGAAAATTGTAATTCATTATAATTAAATCTACACAAATATTTGCAGGTCTGGTATTGTTCCTAGAGGAAGATCATTATGTGGCCGAAGATTTTCTCTATCTCCTCGAAATGATGCAGTCTTCAATAGGCAGTTTATGTCCGCAGTGCGATATACTTTCGCTGGGCACATATTTAAAGACCTTCAACTACTACACATATAATAGTAAAGTAAGTTTTGGTACTTATATAAAATTTCACAAAAAATTTATTACATTGTCTAAAAGCCATTTTAACTCTTAAGGGTACAATTATTATTAGTTTTATTCAATGATATTCATTAATAATGTACTATACTTACAAAAGAAACATAACAGAACGCATTTGAAATTTAGCGCTTTAAACTGCTTTTGAGCTCATTAACCTATTTCTCTCTCTTTCTCTCTTTTTTTACAATTACAAATATGTTTTCGTTGAATTTTAATTCACATCACTGCGCTACCAATTATCCCCCAATTCATTTGTTTTCTTATTTACTGAACCATTTAATTTTTGGATATGTACTAATGGCGACAGACTAATAAGAAATCCCTTAGCAGTCAATATGCTTCCTCGCTGCTCACTTCCAGCAATTTATTAGGATATAATCGCAATAAAAATAGAAACTCACAGCAATTGTCATCGCACGCATCGTCATCGTCATCGTCCACATCAGCTGCGAATAGTTTTAATAAAAAGTATTTTAACGAAAATAATAAAGATAAAGTCTATGTCGGTGATACACTCACCAACAACAACAACAACAACAACGCACACATCATTAACAACCACCACAATACCATTATCACTTCCACCACAACCACAACAGATAAAAGCGCCGCACAGCAATCGTGGAGTTATCACGTGCTACCATCACTGTATTCTGTCTATCAGAAGGTAGTTGGGCTAATAAAAAAAAACAGAAAAAAGTAACATGTTCATGTACACATTTAACCCAAGCAATTTTTTTTTTTAATTAAGTCTTATTTATACATACATACATGTATTTGAATGTTTTGTATTGAAGTAACTAATTTGTTTTAAATCATTAATCGATATTGCCTGATTGTCGTCATTTGTGTCCTTGTTAAACTCCTTTCAGTTTGTATTTGTATTATATATCTAACTATGCTTGTATGATCGACGCTTTTTGTATGTAATACAGTACATTGTACTTTATTTTTAGTTTTTTTTCAATTACAAATGTTTCTATTTTTATAACTGTCCAAGCTTTCATTTTAATTTGCTAGTCGGTTGCACGAAATTTCAAAGCTGTCGCAATTTGAGCCATTACGTTTGTAGATATTGCTTTTAAATTTACCTATGTACTTACATACATACCTACATACATATTGTGCCACCATTCGACGTCATTCATTTGAACATTTCATTGCAGTAACACTTTTTATATATGTATGTATGTATGTACTGAAGATAAGAAGTCAGAGAAGCGTGTGGAGAGAGGTTGACAGGAAGTCTAACCGAGAGGACGTGGGAAATTCTGATTTAATTACCGACGATTCTGGCGGATATCTAACAGATGTCTGACCAAATAATCATAGAAAATAAGAATTATCAGACGTGAATGCCCGAAATCGGACATAATTCGATCAGACACATCGGACAAGGAAATAAAAAAGAAACATCTCCAGACACTCCAGTAAGACTTGTCTAAATAGTACACTTTTTATTCCGACTTGTCTGATATCAATGAATTGTCTGGGAAATGTGCTAGCTGGGGAGTTTCCGGTCCTTAATGGAAAAATGTGGCTAAAGTACTGATGAGAACTTAACCGCGTAATATAACGCCATGCAGGTATCGAAACTTTCACATGGATGTAGTATAGAAAGAAAGTATCGGTACCCGAAATATATCGAATTTAAAGTATACGACTACTGTGTATCGGTACTGGTTAACCGAGATCTAACTGTACATACACGCATATCCCACATATTTACTAGCAAACATCTAGTAGATATCTACGCCGCTTAGTCCGATCTAATTCATTCAACAACAATATATGTATTTATATTAGGGTGGGTCACTTTTGGCAGACTTTTCGACTATGAGCGTATAGAACAGAAGGATTCTACGTGAAATTCTAAGCAAATTTGCGGACCCATAGTAAAATTAACTTGGAGTTTGCCAAATTGCGAAAGCAGGTGTCTTAGAATTTTCCTGTAGTGTCGTAAATAAGTGCTTAAATTTTGTATAAAAACATCCTATGGACTTAGGTTTTTGTTTTTAATTTTACCAGAGGGCGCAAAAGTGAAAATTTTGACATATTCTTCGATATCTACTTTCACAATTTGGCAAACTCCAAATTGATTTTACACCCAATCTTCCTTCGGAAAATTTGCTTAGAATTGCACGTAAACTCTTCCTATGCTACTAATGTATCTATATACATAAATTCTGCATTGTTGTGTGTACGTACATAGTTAGTTGTAAATCTTTGTTTATTGTGTATTTTTGTAATAAATGTTTTTAATTGTGCTTATTTATTTATGGTGTTTCACATTTTCTAACCATATGTATGTTGAATTATGTAATTGTTTAGGTTCTTTACCGTACATCACATATGCCAAAGCCACCAACACAAACTAAATTTCTTGAGGTATCTACTGATCTGTATCTATATTAGATGACACCAATTTACTTAGCAAAAGTTAATATTCAGCAAGAAAAAGAACACAGCAAATATTTAGATTTTACATAGATTCGAAAGCAATGATTAGTCTTTATTAGTGAATACTAACCACTTTTAATATGTCTACTTACTTTAATACACAGATATAAATATTCATTTATGTATCGATGTGTTATCAAACAAAAGATGCGAATATTAAAAATTATTTTAACACAATACCGCTTTCTATTAACCCATGCATACATCATATGTATCTATATTGTTGAAAGTAAGTACCCAATAAACATTTGGGTTGGAGGTCAAATGGAGATCCACTACATATTCCAATGTCCAATGTTGATTCTCAAGTGTACCTCAATTGGAGAACCAACCATTTTCTAACAAAGGGGCACATTTTTGTACATATTATTATTTTGCAATAATCTGAGTTTTTCATTTGAGAAAAACTTGCATATTATTTTGAGTTCAAACTTTATTAAAATTTAGTCAAACCTTGGGAAATTTTTTTTAGAAAAATGTTGTGTATCTACTTGAGAATCAAGAATTTCTTTAAGATTGAAAAAAGTGGAAAAATGTTTGCATTGGGCATAGAGTAAATGCCCTTCCACATACAACTTTGGCGTTGCATTGTCATTGACAACGCTTCAATAGCTGACTATGAATACATGAATTCCATTGCAGCCGTTCACATAGCAAAAATTTGGCAACGCTAACGTCAACACAAAGCAGAAACAAGCAGAAACTCTCAACTTGTCGCGTGCGTCGTTCATCAGCTGTTTCAAACAAAAAAAAATTTGTGTGAAATATTTTTCCTTTTTAATCAAACGCGTGCAAGATATATCGTTTTCAATGTAATTCTTCTTCTTTATTGGCGCTGTAACCGCCTAAGCGATTTTGGCCGAGTCCAAAACAGCACACCAGTCATTTGTCTTCTGTGCTAACTGACGCCAATTGGAAATGCCAAGTGAAGCCATCGCAGTGGCGGCCTCCCTCTTCCTCTACTACCACCAGCGGGTTCCGAATTGAATATTTTCAGAGCTGGAGCGTCGGTGTCCATTCGAACGACATGGCCAAGCCAGCGGATCCGCTGAATTTCAATTCGCTCCATTATGTCCATTTCATTGTAAAGCTCATACAGCTCATCGTTCCATCGTCTGCGGTACTCGCCGTCGCCAACGCGTAAAGGCCCGTAAATCTTCCGCAGAATCTTTCTCTCGAATACTCCCAAGAGCCGCCTCATCGGATGTTATCATTGTCCATGCTTCTGCGCCATTTACCAGCACGGGCATGATGAGTGACTTATAGAGCGTGGCTTTCGTACGTCGAGAGAGGACTTTACTCCTTAATTGCCTACTCAGTCCAAAGTAACACTTGTTGGCAAGAGTGATTCTTCGTTGGATTTCAAAGCTGACATTATTATCGGTGTTAATGCTGCTTCCCAAATAAACGAAGTCGTCTACTTTTTCAAACTTGTAACTGTCAACAGTGACGTGGGTGCCAAGACGCGTATGCTCTGACTGTTTGTGTGATGACCTTCCTCGTGGTCCTCGTTCACCACCAGACCCATTCGCTTCGCTTCTCTATCCAATCCCGATAATATCGATGTCGTCGGCATACGCCAGCAATTGTACGCTCTTGTAAAGTATGGTGCCTGAGCGGTTCAGTTCTGCGGCTCTTATTATCTTCTCCAACATCAGATAAAAGAAATTACATGAAAGGGAGTCCCCTTGTCTGAAAGCTTGTTTGGTACCAAACGGCTCGGTGAGGTCCTTCCCTATTCTGATGGAGCTGGTGGTATTGCTCAACGTCATTCTACACAGCCGTATTAGTTTCGCGGGGATACCAAATTCAGACATCGCGCCATAAAGACAACTTCTCTTCATGCTGTCGAAAGCGGCTTTGAAATCGACAAATAGATGGTGGGTGTCGATCCTATGCTCGCGGGTCTTTTCCAAGATTTGGCGTATTGTGAATACCTGATCTATGGTGGATTTGCCAGGCCTAAGGCCACACTGATAAGGTCCAATCAGTTCGTAGACGGTGGGCTTCAGTCTCACGCTCAATACGCTCGGTAAGACCTTGTAGCCTATACTTAGAAGGTTAATCCCGCGGTAGTTGGCGCGAATAACGGGGTCACCTTTCTTGTGGATTGGGCAGAGCACACTTAAATTCCAGTCGTCGGGCATGCGTTCATCTGACCATATTCTGCATACGAGCTGATGCATGCACCTCAACCAGCTCCTCGCCGCCGTACTTGAATAGCTCGGCTGGCAGGCCGCGTAATCGCTATTCTTACCTCGTCATAGTCAGGCGGTGGGACAGCTACTCAATCACCATCGACTGGGAACTCAGGTTCGTCTTATCCACTACTTTCAGCGCTGCTACCATTCAATAGGTTGTAAAAGTGTTCCCTACACAATTTAAGTACATTCTGGACATCGGTCACTAGGTCGCCATTGTTGTTCTTACAGAGGAGTTCGCCCCGATCTTGAAACCTTCCATATGTTTTAATTGGGAGCAAGGCATATCAAACAGTAGCATTAGAGCAAAAACAAAATTTACGTGCATTTTGTTGTTGCTTCTAGTATCTAAAGTGTCAAAATCTGTTCTGATTTTTTCTTTTGTAAATCAACGTGTGCCATGACAAAAATACAAATACAAAATTAAAATTGAAAAAAATAAAAAATTTTGCAACTTTATTTCTTAATAAATTTGTTTGCCAGACCTAGTTATCACCGTTTGTGCTGCTGAGTTTGATGAACGTTCCTAAAGCTGCTATTCAATCGCTTGTTTTGTAGATTTTGACAGTTGAGAATTTTTGTGAGAATAAATTAATAATATTTGACATTTTAGACACCAAATAATTTACGAAAAAAATTAAATCATCTGCTCTACTGATACTACCTGTTCAATATGCCTTGATTGGGAAACATATTTATTTACAATCAAGTCTTGGTTACTAGTCCCTCCAAATACTACCCTTTAAACAATTTTCTGAGTGTTCAGAATTTGTGAGTGTAAAATGAGTCTTCCGTCATAAATATGATTTTGAGACCAGTTAACCAGACTGACACATTTCGGGCTCTTTTGGTGTCATAAATTCTGTGTTGAACATAAGTAACAAAGTTCACATATAAGTAAAAGCTTATTAGTAATCAGAATTATAAAGAATATTTGTTTTTAATACTCAGAAAGCGTCATAATTCAGACTCTAAAATGACTCCGAACTTGGACTCCTATTCGCATGCCCTTCTAGGAAGGTTTCTAGGAAGGGAAATATGCTCTTTTCTGACTCTTTTTTGAGCTCATAATGGGCCATTATCCTCAACTTACTATGCACTTAACTATGGTTGCTTTTCATAATATGTATACTAGGGTGGTCATATATATCCCTATTTTTTATTTTGAAATCACAAAATTTTTAGAAGTCGCTTAAAGCGCTCAAAATTTTTCATGTATTTTATACGGGGAAAAACAGCTTTTCGTAGAAATGGTATGGGATTCTTGAGCATCAATATTTTTCTGTTTCTCTCCAGGAGATTTCCAGTACCATTTTTCGTAGTAACTATATTTTACAGGTCCGCCAAAACTCCCAGGGGTATCGAAATAGTATTTATACTTCTGCACCGCACGATGTAAATTGCTTATGTCTCCTTTAATTTATGGTATCTACGGGGGTGGTCCCAAAACTACCCGGCCTAACCTACAGATGGCGGTAGTTGTTTGAAAAATATCACTGTGTTAAAAAGTACACAATCTATAAAGCAAATGTTTCAAGTTTGAAAACGCCGCGTTGTTTAGTATATGTGTTATTTAATAAGAAAAGTCGACATATTAATATTGCATTGGCTTTACTCAACAGGGTATTAATTTTCGCTTGCATTATTTTATGCGTAGCTTGCACTTTATGCCTTTTAGTGTATTCTTATAGCCAAATAATTTGGCATGTGTCAATTTACATATAAGACATTGTTGATTAAGGCACACAAATAAGAGTAGACGCAAAATGTGGAATATGCTTGTGTCAACAAAAACGTGGGAATAAAGCATTTGCATTAATTATGCTTATGTAGACCAAAACGTGGGAATAAAGCCTTTACAATAATTTTGCTTACGATCTAAAGTTTTTATGGCTTATTATTTAGCTACGTAAGCATTTAGTTTGTATAAAAACGTAATCATTAATTCAATAAAGACTTGAAAGCAACGAAGCAAACAACAGTGTTCGAACTTGGCGTAATCGCTACTGTTACGAACGTTCTGGTGACCCCGGTGAAAGGACATTCTGCTTAAACAAGGCCAGTGCAGCAGTTTAAGGACCCACAAAACTACAAGAAGAAAAATGGAAGCAGTCTGCGCAGAAGCACGTCATGATACTGGAACCAAACATAAAGCTTCCAACGAGTACACTAGACTAGTTCGCAGCCAAGGGGTAATGATGGCCTCGTTGCGACGGTTACTGAACGACAACGTTTCACCACAATGTGTTCCAACAATTAATAAGCTGTGGGAAAATATAGAAGACATTCACTTCAGAATATATGAGATGTTCGACAACCCAACCGAGCAGGGCTAAAAGGTCGATAACTTCATTTCACTTGAAGAAAAGGTATGGAGTACTTTGCAAGCAGCTAACAGTGACTCACATACTGAGCAATCTTCAAACCGACTTCCGATTCAACTGCAATCAATTTCATTGACGAAGATAATAATTCCAAAATTCGATGGCACCTATTTAAAATGGCAAGAATTTCATGATCTATTCTTGAAACTGGTAATAAATCAACCTCTTTCAAAAGTTCAGAAAATGTGGTACTTGAAAACTCACTTAGTGGGGGAGGCTGGAAATCTAATTAAACATTTCACATCAACAGGAGAGCATTTTGATGCATCTTGGTTCATGCTTCTGGAGCGTTACAACAACAAACGCTTGCTGGTGAGCAAGTTAGTTAGTGGGATCCACTTCTTCTCCCCCTTCTAATGAAGAAACTGGATCAACCGACTCGTTTGCAGTACGAACAATCATTATCAAAGCCACGGAAGGTAAAAACACTCAATGAATTCCTGCAATTTCTGGAGAAACACTTTCAATCCATGGAAGCGATGGGTGTCAAAGACAAATCTACAAGCTCAACGGCAAAGGTGTGCACTTCAGCCACATCCAAAGGTCATAAGAATGACACTTGCAGCATGTGCAAAAAAGGAAAACATCCATTATTTTTTGCAAGGCATTTTTACAACAGTCTCCATCGGCACGCTTTCAATTCATACAAGGGCAGAAATATTGCCACAATTGCCTTAAACCGGGACATGGTTCTAAAAATTGTATATTAAGAAACTGAAGAAAAACACAACTCGCTGTTACATTTCGAGGATTCAAAAAGGGATGTGAGCAAAGACATCAGGCAACGGATCGCAAAGTACTACAGCATCCAGGACCAAATCAATACCATCAAAAGACGAAGCAACGTCACTTACCACCGCAAAGCACACAAAGTCAAACACATATGTACTACTCAGCACTGCCATGGTGAAAGTTAGAGGAATCGGAACAGAAGTGCAGTGTCGGGCAATTCTCGATTCACGCTCACAAGTTAATTTTGTGACTGAACGATTGGTTAAACGTCTTGGCATCTCAACTAAACCATCATCAATCTCCATTAGTGGCATCAAGTCGAGGAGCACCAAGATACAGCATCGAGTCAATGTGGCGCTACAGTCTCGGATCAACAACTTTACAACGCGGCTAGAGACAGTGGTATTGCCTCAGATTATATCCCCGCAGCCTTCGCAAGAAATCAAGATCGACGAATGGCAAATACCTGAGAACATCATGTTAGCCGATACATCATTCAATCATCCTGACAAAATTGATATATTGTTGGGCGGAAT